AAATACAAATATCGAAATAATAAAATAATACTAAGATAAAATAATAACTAATAAAATAAAACTGTTCTATAACAGTAAATTTGTAAGTGTCTAATTGAAACTTGAGTACATGCACATGTAGCATGTAGAGGAGTAATTATGAAATTCGATTCTCTCGATGATCCCATTTAGTGTTTTTGTAGTGGTATTTTTGGTTGTATTCCGGGTGATTGAGTGACAAATGAAATGCCGTGAACGAAGTCACGGGCCATGCATTTGTCACGAGATCACAGCCCAGTCCCATGACGTCATATGGATGATCTGTAGATCGGTTTAGTAATTGTGATGTATTGAGCAATGGTAAGTATGATGTATTGGGAAATGGTAAGTATGAGGTATTGAGCGATGGTGAGTATGATGTATTTATGATGGGTATCGGTAAGTATGAGGTCATGGGAGGGTTATATAGGGAGAGGAGATGGAATTTTGTTCTCCCTCTTTTGTCTTTGCTGCTAGCTCGACGAAGGTCTAGCTTTGTCGTTATCACCCACCCACCCGCCTCCGGGGGGTATGAGGTGTTTTGGGTTAGGGGGTTGTGTGTGTCGATAGCCCGGGTGAACAACCCGGATATCGGGTTAGTATCTTTGATAGCCCGACTCTTCAGCTCGGATATCAAAGAGGAAAATCAGGAAATGAGTAGAATGTGGCCGATTCTAGGGACTAGCTGTAGACCACGTGGGCAGTGAGGCAATATCCCATTGAGTGTTTTCGTAGTGGTATTTTTGGTTGTATTCTGGGTGATCGAGTGACAAATTAAATAAATGGTTTTAATATTATTTGCAATATTAGAGAATTAATTTTGTAATTTAATACACATCGTTCATTCTATAGTAATAAATTAAAAAAAATTTTGTCTATTATAAATTAATAAATTTTAGTAATAAAAGATATTGATTTAAAACTAACTCTATTGAAGATTAATAAAACTCGAATAATCGAATCTTAATTATAGTATTTTTTTGAAATTCAATTCGAATACAAAATTTGTAAAATTTTAAAAAACGAAATGTATATAGGTTCTGAAATTACATGCAATATGGTCGAAAATTCTTTCTATAAAATTTTAAGCAAATCCCGAATTAGTTATGCAATATATAATGTAGTAGTTCTAGTAAAACACAATTTATTATTCTAAAGATATGAATTTAAATATAATAACTTTAAAAGAGTGAAATTTAATGCACCACTAAGTTTATCCTATTTAAATATTTTTTATTACTTCTTTTTTTTTTAGTGAAAAGATTTTTTGAATCGTAATTTCATTTACAAATGGCTCATTACTATTCATGTTCAAACTTGGGTTGATCTTAAATAGCAGCAGACTCGGAGAAGAACTCGGTATAACCCTTAAATATTAGGGTAATAGAAATTAAACAGAACCTTGCATAGAATAATAATTTAGGAATAAAAGATTAACTCCTTACCATATAGAAAATACAGTACCGTCCGATTACCTATTACAATAATAATTTAGTATTATCATCGTTTTTTTATCGAGATTATCAATCAGATAATTAAATATACCAGATTTTTTCGTGAGCGAAGAACCTCACATATTCTTTGTACTCCTAGAATTTCGCATCCTTGACGATTAATATACACACGCTGATCTGAATCGTCACCCAAAGAAAGAAATAAGGTTGTGTCAATAAGGTATGTCCATGTTTGACCGAGTGCTGGTTTTTTGTTTATTGAAAAAACCGATTTATGGTCATATGGACGAGCATTTTGAACTGAATTGGTAATCTACAAAATAATATTATTAGAATCGAAAATCATTGAAAAAGAGCGTCATTTGAAACAGACAAAAACTAAGAGTACCAATATCGCTATATTATGTTCTTTTGCTAGATTTCGAAGAGTTCGTATTAAAATCGTTAACCTAGAGTATGCTTAAATTTCAAGAATTAAGAAACAATTAAAAGACTAAAAGAAAAGCACTAAGGTAAATACTTTTCCCTTACGATAATGATCGAGGTTATACCCGAGAAGTGGTGAGAATACCGAAGTGATCGAATCAATTACTATTAGCTTTAAGTTCAAATAAAAATTATTGATCTCCTATAATAAGAAAACTTATTAATTTCAAGCCAAGGTACATTGATGGAAAAGAAATAATTAACCTTTTGCTGAAACTGTAGATTCAGATCTTCGATCACATTTAATAGATCATCTTCAAATATACAACCTCTCTGAATATGAATTCTATCAGATATATTATCAACATCCTATTTGATGAATAAAAAACATGTTTAGTAGCTAATTAAAGGGACTTAAAAAATTGTTGGAATTGATTTCTTACCATTCCTCGTTCCCTTGCATCTGCGAATTGATCGCTCTCCAAAAATAATGTTCGAATATAATTAGCGCATGACCCATTCTTGGTATCAATGAACAGGGCAGTATTTTCTTTATTCAAACATGTTATTGACAGTAGCGCGGAGTAACAAAGCTATTTATGATTTATTAATTTCTTGTAATTATTATTATTATTAATAAATTAAATATGATTGAAAAAAGTCTAACCCTGGTTTTTCCAGCAGTAGATTCTCCGCTAATCTCCGTAATATCACCAGGTTGTAATCCACCGCCTAATAATTCATCTATGCTGCGAAAAATTCAATTAATTAAACCTTATATCACTTTTATTCACTAAGTTTATAATTTTTACCTCGCGTATCCTATTGATAATCGGCGCGAATCACGTGCCTTCAACTCATTCAGAATATCATGACCATTTTTTGGCAAAATTTTGTTTCGTTCAATGGTTTGGCAGCGAAGCTTTTGGAAATCCTATTTAACAGTTGATAAGCTGAAAGAGTAAATGAAGTATCTTGTGACTATTAAACGCTTACTTCTGGTTGAACACTATGCCTTTTACAGTATTTTCCTACGTTTACTTCACCAAATAGAACTTTTAATTCTAGTTAATATGAAAAACGCGTGTAAGCCTATAGTAAAAGGACGTAATACGCGTAAAAAATAATAATTACCTTCTGGTATTCTTGAACTTTTTGTTTGGTTAATATTATTCATAGCTGCCAAGTATTATTATATGACCTGCTTTTTTTTGGAATAGTACAGTGGTAAACGGTCAAACTATTATCGTTATTAATTTCTCTTTCTTCACAGTTTCCATTGGTTAGTAATAATTGTAACAAAATTGTGCGTGTGTGCGTACGTCAGGGACCTGATTTGAAATTTTTATGTGATCTTGCCGCGGGGCCCGACCTGAGGGCCGAATAGCGAATTTTGATTTATACAGTAGAAATAAATTTTATTAAAAGATGTGAAAAAATAATAATAGCAGTAATAATCCAACATGAAATATGGTATACGTATATTATCGATTATTGTCAATATATAATCAACTTCGATATATCTTAGCACATGTTTTTATATACTGTAACAAATAAAAATTGGTATATATGCTTTGACAGGAATTTTCTATCATTGTCTTAAATTCGATTTTATCAGTAAAAAAAGTTCATTTATTAGTCATTGGCATGCCTATGTTTCCTGTTTCCTCAAAAACATGATTTGCTTCTCCATCGCATGATTCTCTAAATTAATAATTTATTGTACATATTTCATCATAATGTATATAGTTGGAACTAGAATGTATCCTATTCATCATTAATATCAAGTTATAGAGTTATAGTGATTCCTCAAAATATCTAGAACTGAGAACGCTCAATGCCAAAACATTGGCCACGAACTTACGTAGATAATTTGGGACAAATAGTGACTCGGCATATCTCGGTTAAAAAAAAACTTACTCAACATGTATAACTTCGGTACCTAGCTCTTTAAAATAATTCTCTGGCATAGAGCTAGTGTTCCGAGTTGGTAAAATTTTTCCAATC